ACTCCTTGGATCCAGGTTTTCCATTCTTTTCTTTGGCTTCACTTACCACTTAGAGACTCAGGTTTAATCCTAGCTGGTATCACAAGTTCCAAGAGCTTTTAACTGAACATTGCTTGAAAAAGAAAATCAGTTGTACACGAGCCAGTTCAGTCCCATGAATCAGGATTGCCCTTACAGAACTTAACTGGTGGGCGTAAAGGGAGAGGAAGAAGTGCTGGAACCTTTCTGTGGGCGTACCTCCCAGTGGCGGATACTTGAAGAGGAAGGAGTGGTGGAATTGGAGTGCAACCTTGGAGGTGGTCAATCCTATGCTGTAACGGTGGAGGCCCTTTCGCAGGGGCTCCCAAAGACAAATGGCGGTGCTCTTAAAAAAGAAGTAAAGATAACCAAATCCGAGGAGTGTGGGAACCTCCAAGAAGTGGCATGCAACTCTTTGTACTGCAACACAGAGCCCTTTCACGAGCTGCACACCCCAGCACGCGTCCTGGATGAACAGCTTCTTTCTTTAAAATAGTATTTGCATATGACATCATCGGGGCACCCAGCCAGGTTTGAAGAGTTTGGCAACACACCCGGGTTCTTGGGAAGCAAATGATGCTCATGCTGCTTCTCATGGGGATTATTTGTGGTGGGGAAACTTCTCAGGAATAAATATTTTGGTAATGACAGAACAAGGCGTGCTGGTGAAGAAGGACAGACTCATACCCTTTTCAAAAGCTGTGTTTTATTACGCAGGTAGTATTTATACTGAGGGGTAGCCAAAGGCATCTTCATTTTGCAAAGAGACAAGGTTTGAATGATAAGTTCTGCACAATGAATGAGTAGTTTTTTTTTTTCTTTCCTCCTTTTATTCCCCCCAGAGAAGGAATGTCAATGAAAGACTATGAATTAGGCAATAGTTGCCAACAGAAAAAGTAGAAGCACCTGAAAAGGAATCTATTTTAATTGAAATAAAATTGAAAGCAAAGAAGAGAGAATGTGAGAAAATTGGTACAAGTTTTTATTCATTTACGAGGTATTTACTGCATAGCAACTATGTTCTGGGCCTGTGATAGACAGTGGGGAATAAGATCCAGACCTGTCCTTAGCAGCTCATAGACTAGTTGGGAATGACTGAGATCTGAAAAATAGAAATAAAGAACAGATTTGGGGAAAGGACCAAGTAGTGTGGAGGAGGCAGGAAAGTATTTTTTCCTTTCTGAATTCTGCTACTCCATACTTCCCTGACTTCCTTTTCTTACCGGAAATTGCAAGTGGCAGTGCACCTCACTGATAGTTGAGAGAGAAAGCCTGTTGAATGAACGAGAGGGCTGAGTGGCCTTTTCCGCATCAGAAGCAGCTGCAAAGGAAAAGCCAACCCCTGCTTGGAGCGCCCTGAGCACCCGTTGGGGGAAGGTGCCTGGCAGCCGGTTGATGCTCCAGGAGCAGCGCAGTAGCCCATCCGAACACACAGCCCTTATCTTTGAGGTGGTGCAGGAAAGCCTGGCCTAGACCTGGATTTCATTTTGATCTGCATGAGGGGGCATAGTATAGGTGGTGGAGTGCCCCAGAGCTCCGTGCTCGGACCTCTCTCTTTCCTGTCTGTACTCCCTCTCTTGTCAATCATGCAGTCCTGCGCCTATGCGCCGAGGACGCCTGAATTGATACCCCCAGCCAGGACCCCTCCCACGAACTCCAAATTGTGTCTCCAGCCAGCACGGCATCTCTCCCCTTGGATATCAAATAAGCATCTCACTTTTTTTTTTTTTTTAATTTTTATTTATTTATTTTTCCCCCAAAGCTCCAGGAGATAGTTGTATGTCACAGCTGCACATCCTTCTAGTTGCTGCATGTGGGACGCGGCCTCAGCATGGCTGGAGAAGCGGTGTGTGGGTGCGCGCCCAGGATCCGAACCCGAGCCGCCAGTAGCGGAGCGCACGCACCCAACCGCCAAGCCACAGGGCCGGCCCAACATCTCACTTTTAACATGTTGCAAATTGCGCCCTTGATGTAACCCACTAAATCTCTTCTTCTGCTTCTCCGTTAATGGTAATTCCCTTCTTCCAGGGGCTCAGCCCAAAATTCTTGGAGCTATCCATGATGTCTCACTTTATCGCCACTCCACGCATCCTGCCAGCTCTATCTTTACAATCTCTCCCGAATTCCCCCACTATTCACTACTTCCACTGCCATCACCCTGCTAAGCCAGCGTCGTTGTCCCCTGGACTCTTGCTGTAACTTCCTAACTGCTCTCCCTCCTGCCACTCGTGCCTCCTGCAGTCTCTTCTGCTTACAGGGTCCTTCCTGTTCAGTGTAAGTTAGGCCATGTTACTCCTATGCTTCAAGTTCTCCAGTGGCTCCCATCTCGCTCAGAGTTTTGAAAATATTTTCCCTGTCTGCTTTCTCTCTCTGCATGCCCTCTGATTTCATCTCCCATCACTCACCTCCTTGCTCCCTCCAACACCCACACCCAGCTCCTTGTTGTTCCTTGAACACGCCAAGCACTCTCCAACCTCAGGATGTTTGCACAGTTTGCTCCTCACCCCCAGGTTTTTCACTGTGTTAGTCAGGGTCCCACTGGGAAGCAGCTGGCAGTCTCAGAATAGGATTTATGTCTGAGGTGTGGAGGGGGGACCACATGGGCTGTGCAGTTGGTTACTGGCTTAGAAGCAGCTGGCTCAGAGCTCTTGGTGTCTGTGTTTTCTCAGTGTCAGGCTCTGTGCCGTCAGGAGAACTGTTCATGCGGCATTTCCCGAAGAGAGCTCCACAGGGGTCTATGGAACATTCTTCCAGCTGCTGACTCTCATTCTCCAAGTTTTATGAACTTGATTGATTTACCAGAAGGTTTTCAGACAACAGTTAGGACTCGTAGTCCTTCTGCAAGTGGTCCGGAGGTGGTCTGGGGCCTGAACCATCAGGATGGCAGCTGTCTAGTCACACCACTGAAAATAACAACCACTTTGCTCGTGTGCAGGCACCAAGTCACGGTTGCCACCTGCCCAGCATGCATGAAACTGTGCATGTCAAACCTGATGAAGATAAAAACAGTGAATCTGAATGGCTGCCCCAGCTGACCTCCTCAGATTCACAACCTGGTGTGTGTGAGACGGTGGGGAGAGGCAGGACTTCCAGACGAGACTGTCCTGGTGGTTCGCAAGGACTTTCCTGTGATACCCAAACCATGGAAATACATCCTTTGTAATACGCATATTTTTCAATTTTGTTATATGACAACTTTTATTCTTTAATTTCTGGTTACCCTTGATTGGCAGGTGGCTTCTAACTTTTAGTTTTGAGTCGCTCTGCCCCATGACTTGTTTAATTTTTGCGACATGTAAAATATTTGATTTACTTGAACTCCAAATTTTTGGAAACATTTTAAGTAGCCCTTTCATCAGGAGAACATGGAGCAGCACGCATATCACCCCCTGAATCATCTGCTTTTAAATTTAGGGGACGAGATTTCCTTACGGGGGTGGCACCTTGCACTGATGTCAGTGTAAGGAGGATGTGGTCCTGTACACACGCTAGGATTAGAAGGATATTTAAATTGCACAGCGAGTGTCAGACACTTCACTTTGGCATTTTCCTTTGCCTTCCCTTTGGTTCTGAGCAGAAGCTGTTTTTTCTTGAATTCATTTCCCCCTGGCTTTGATATTCGGTTGTAATAGGAACCTATTTGAAGTCGTAAGTAGAGATTTTAGAGAGGTCTGAAGGACTAGTTTGTCAAAATAGAAGTTGCAGAAAGCGATGCTTAAAGGGATATGAACAAAAGCTGTCATTTGGAGACTTTTGCTTCTGCTTGCAATTGGGTTCCCCTGTGCGTGAGTGTGACCACCCTGGAGTAATTTAATGGTGCGGTTTATCCGCTTCCTGTCTTCATGGTAGTTCCCATTTCTTGTAAAATACTATTTTAAAAAAATAAGTAGAGGGTGTGGGTAGTGAAAATGGATGATCTGGTTCACTGAATTTCTAGGTTTTGATGGAGTCCAGGTAGCGAGACAGAGGCAAAAATTGACTTTGGAGTGTTTCATTGCTTCTCTCTGTGATGAGTCAGAGTTTGAAATAGAAAAGTGAGATCCAACGCTTCCCCTGACTAACACGTTTATTATTAAATTAAGAACCTATTAGCCTTCTTGAGGTCATCCAGGCTCATTCTTTGTGCCCTCAGATTGTCCCGTGGTCACAGGCCCTGATGAATCAGTGAAGTTGGCCTCTAGTTTACAACCCTCTTCTACGGCAAAGAGAACCGGAAATTATTTTGAACAATGAAGCACTGAGTGTCTCCTTAGGTAGAATGTGCCCATTTTTCCTAGATGACGTTGTAATGAGGGAAACGGGGAAGAGGGGAGATGACTCCCCCATAAGTAATTAATTCAAATTTAGCTCTTTTGAGACTGGCATTTGTTCTCCTTTTAATCAGAGTCTGTTTTTTATATTTACCTTTTGTTTCTCTTCTCTACATTTCTTTACCAACCTTTGCTTGGTTTGAGGAAATGGTGGATCAGTTATCTGTTGCCGCAAAGCCTTAGTGGCCCACAGCAGTGAGTGTTTATTGCTCCCACATCTGGGATCAACGGCTTGTGGCTGGGGCATGGCTGGCTGCTGGCTGATCTAGGCTGGCCCCAGCTGGAGCAGCTGAGATGACTCAGCTCTGCCTCCTGTGTTGCTCATTCTCCTCCTGTGGGTCCAGTGGACAGCCCAGAAGTGCTCTTTTCATGCCAAAGGTGGAAACACAAAAGAGCAAACAGAAATACTCAAGTTCTCTTGAGGCCTAGGCTCCAAGCTGGCACACCATTGCTTCTGCATCATTGATGGGCCAAAGCAAATCATGTGGAGTGAGGAAATATACTCCTCCTATTCTGGGGGGGACTCCATAGTCATGTGACAAGGGGCATGGATACTGGGAGAAGAGAAGCCTTTCTCTGGGAGCCTTTAATGCCACAACCACAGTTGGTTCAAAGAAACCTCAGAGCTAAAGTTAAATAAAATTTCCCTTCTTTGTGATTTATCTTTTTCAGGAAACCAGAACCTATGGCTGTCTTTGCAGTCTTTCAGACAACATTCCTCTTGGCATTGCTGTCCTGGAGAACTTACCAGAGTGAAGGTAAGAAGTGGGAAGAACAGTAAAGAAAAAAATCACAAAGAGAAAAAAATGAGGTAATTGGTGCTTTGGAGAAAAGTTGCACCATTCTTTTCTCTTTGGAAATGACTGGGAACTGGTGAGTAGCAATGGTTACCTTAGTCTTGACCTTTCTGATTTTTTTTTTTTAATTTTATTTATTTATTTTTTTCCCCAAAGCCCCAGTAGATAGTTGTACGTCATAGCTGCACATCCTTCTAGTTGCTGTGTGTGGGACACGGCCTCAGCACGGCCAGAGAAGCAGTGCGTGCCGGGATCCGAACCCAGGCCGCCAGCAGCGGAGCGCGAGCACTTAACCGCTAAGCCACAGGCCAGCCCTTGACCTTTCTGATCTTGATGGCCCATTTTAATAAGCCACGACTTAAGCCCTGGTTTTCTGGTCAATGCACTGGTCATTAGGGCACTGGCAAGTGGACCTAATTTCGCAGAACTTCATGATCCGTGTATTGTACGTGGCCATCCCAGAGGAGTTCCTTCTGCACCTTGCTTGGTAGAGACAAGGTACACCAGACCAGTGTTGGCCGCAGGTTAGAACAAGTTGGGGTGTCTCTCAACTACATTCATCAAGAAGCTGTAAGCTGCAAGGAATATACTCAGTGCCAAAATGCTGTTTATGGATAGAGAAATAGTATTTATCACTTAGCTACTCTCCCAGTGAGAGTATTTTGAGATGAATCAACTTTGTAAATAAAATCAATAAGAATTCAACACTTCTAAAATGTTTATGGATACTTTATTACTTGGAACCAGTTTCAAGGTGGATTCTTAGACTTGAGAGAGTTTCTATTGGTTTACAAAGTTTATTTTGCTTTTTCTGTATTTTACAGAACTTTCCATTTTCCCTTTCTGTGCTTAATCTTCTTGCAACAGAGAGTACAGGTGTATGCTCTTAGTTATTACTCACACAATTCCTGTCCATGGATTTATGAAAATGATATTGGCAAGAAACATCCATAGAATTTTTATCTTCCCTTAAAACTCCGTGAAAAGATATTTGGAAATAAAAAGATTTTGTTCTGATAATAGCTCAGTTCTCTGTCTGACGTTCTTTAGGTCTGGGTTCATTCCTTGTAGGTCCAGGGCATGTGGGAAAATGCTACTTTTATGGCTTCTTAAAAATCATAGTTTGATTGTTTGTTTCTTCCATAATCTAGAGTTGAAAGGTATCTGTCTTATTTGTTAAAATCTAAGCATGACACAACTGCATGGGTAGTCTGTCCCATAAGAATGTTTAGGCCCAGCCAGAGCTCCTGATTCCCAGACAGACTCATGGCCCCAGCTCCAGGCTGTCCAGAAGGTCCCAGACATTTCACTCCAAGCTTTTGGAACAGCTCACTCCTCTAGTGAAGTCTCATTACTGATCCAACAACTATTTGCTGTGTGCCTTCTACTTGTAAGACGCTCTGTTCTCAGAGCAAGCTCTGCTGCTCCCCCTTTCAGCTTCTTTTATTTAGATCAGACATGCATTTACCTGTTTTTCTCTCCCTCAGTCCTTGTTTCTGCTTTCAGCTTTCTCGGCCAAGCATGCCTGCTTTGCTAAGTAAGCCTGTCTTTGTCCTCACCTGCACTGCTGGGATTTCTTGTCTCAGTTTCTGCTGCATCTGACCAAGTACCTACTAAAGCGCCGCTCGTAGCAGTGGGCCTCCCACTCGATCACCCAGAAGGCTCAGGTCTGAGACTGCATTTCAGATGACTTCGCTTCTCCCGACCCACGAGACAGCCAAGGCTCACTTCCCGTTAGCCCTGGGCTCACGTCTCCATCAGCCAGAGATCATGACTGTAGCATTTGGATGTATTTTCTTCCAGTCTCTTGTGTGTATGTATGTACAGACAGAGAGATGTAGATAGTATGTAGATTTTTTTTTATAGAAGTGAAATTATACTATATATACTGGGAGTATTTATACTATATATACTTATGGTATACTTATTAAAGTGTATACAGGATAAATTATATATACTTATTAAAATATATGTAGCATAAAGTATATTATGTATAGTATAAGTATACTGGGAAATTATACTATATATGCTTAATAAAGTATACTATATTTTATACTGCATATTAATAAATATGGTATATTATACTATAAATACTTATTTAAGTATATACATATAGGTAAATGAAAGTATATACAAGTAAAGTATATACACTTTAATAAGTATACTTTAATATGTATTTATTAAAACAATACAACATATGATGAGAGTTTTTACCTTTGATGTTAAGTGTTATTCTAGAAATAACATTATATTTAATGGCTGCATGGTGTCCCATCTTATGAATGGACCATGATTTATTTCCTTAAGTGGTGTCGGGGCCAGACAGAGAAACTGGGTGGGGAAAGTGGGAGGTGATTAAATCCAGGTCTGTCTGATTCCCAAGCCTGCCCTTTTGGCCATACTCCAGGGCAGAGAGCTGGGCCAGGGGCCAAGAGCCCTGGATCCTGGTCTGGGTTGTGTGTTCTTGGGAAAGTCACTTCCCTTTTTTTACCTCAATTTCCTTATCTGAAAAATAGTGGGATTGGATTTAGTAATCTCTAAGCTCCCTTTATCTCTCTGACTTTTCCTTGGTATTTCCCACTATTTCCCAAGAAAGTCCTAGATCACTTTTGACCTAATTATTTCTGACCGATGTCTCACGAGTACCTGAGACACTGAATACTTGCTGGCAATGTATGTCATATAAAGAGTTCCCCTTTTGTCTAAAACATCGTGCGGTAGCTTTCTAGTGTTTCCGGAAATAATGTTGATATTGGTAGTTGACTCATTCATTCAGCAGTCAGTCACTGAGTGACTAAGTGTCTGTACCGTGACGGGTGTGTTATTGGTCTTGGTTTCACTGAACTGGGTAAGACTCTGTCCCACGCTTGTTTAGCTCGCGGTCAACGGGGAGACAGACACAGAACAGACTATTTCAGCAGGCTGTGATCAGTGCTCAGACAAGGGCTTAGAAGCACAGTCATGGGGAGAAGAGAACACCAGGAAGGACAAGTCGAGGGGGTAGTGAGGAGTTGCTTGTCAGGCACTTGAGACCTCGTGGAGATCCTGATCTCTGTAACTTGAGATCAACCTCTGCTATGGGTGAGATGTTTTGCCAAGTGCTGGGGACAGGAGCCCGTTCAAAGATGCTTAAGCCACAACCTCTGTCCTCCGGATCTGAATCTAGAGTGAGACTGACAGCAACAATCTACCATATAGGCAAAGTGAACTGAGGGCTGGGAAAGACGGCATGATTCTGCATGCACCCTGCTTTCTCTGGTGCTATTGGCTCCACAATTAATAAAAGTATTTCCCCCCTATTCCATAAGGGATCTGCTTTTTCATCTTTCTATACCTTCTTCTACTTAACTTACATCTTAGGCTTGGAAAACTCGTCCGGCTGACACAGGTTCAGGGAGAGGGTGAATAACAGTTGTTGGCTTTAAGTAAAGAAGTGAGAAATTTTACTCACAAAGGAGATGAAATCTGTAACCAAATAAGAATAGAACCTGATCACCAGGTTTTGGGCTTTCAGTATTCAGTAATTCTAACTTACTTCATTTACCTTTGAGTGAATGTGGTCTGGGTAAATGATTCACTCTGCCCAAACTCGTTAAGAATCAGAATGCCAATTTATTAATTTTCGGTGGGAAGTATAACTGGAAAGATAACTGGGGCCAAGCCTTTTGGTGCAAATCGACTCAGAAGACTAAATTATGCATTCTAAAGTATAATTATAGTGGGTGAACCAGATATCTTAAAGGATATTTATTTTAAAAAATAGCATATTATGTGGTTCTGAAAGCAATACATGTTTCTGAAGAACATTTACAAAATATAGAAAAGTATAAAAAAGAAAATTAAAATCACTCAACTCGATCATCCAGAAATAATAACTGTTAACGTTTTAGTTTTACTTCCCTTTATAGCTTTTCTTAAATAACGGCTGTACTTAAAAAACCATAAAATGGAGTGCATAGTCTGATATGTTTTTTTTAAGTGTATAGAAAAAGTCAAGGAAAACATACTTAATTTAAACTTGGCAATGGAGTAAGAGTGGAGTTAGTAGGATGGTAGGGACTCAATTTCTGTATTGTTTGAAGATTTTTGTCATGATGATGTTATTTAAAAAATTTTTTTGTTGAAGTGAAATTCACATAATATAAAATTGAATACTTTATGGTTAAAGTAAACAAATCAGTGATATTTAGCACATTTACAATATTTTGCAACCACCACCTCTATCTAGTTCTGAAACATTTTTATTACCCTCAAAAGGAAACTCTGTAACCATTAAGCAGTTACTCTCTATTCCTCCCTCCCTCAGCCCCTGGCAACCACCATTCTGCTGTCTCTCTCTATGGATTTACGTATTCTGGATATTTCGTATACATGGAATCATTCAATATGTGACCTTTGTATCTGGCTTTTTTCACTTAGCATAATGTTTTTCAAGGTCCCACCAATTTGTAGCATGTATCAGTACTTCATTCCTTTTAATGGCTGAATGATATTCTATTGTATGTATATACCACAATTTGTTCATCCATTCGTTCATTGATGGACATTTGGGTTGTTTCCACCTTTTGGCTATTGTAAATAGTGCTACGAACATTTGTGTACAAGTATTTGTTTGAATCCCTACTTTCAATTCTTTGGAGTATATTCCTAGGAATGGAATTGCTGGGTCATATGGTAATTCTATTTTAATTTTCTGAGGAACTTCCAAAATGTTTTCCACAGCACTGAAGCCGTTTTACATTCCTACCAGCAGTGTATGAAGGTTCTAGTTTCTCCGCATCCTCATCAACACTTATTTCCATTTTTTTATTATAGTCATTTTTATGAGTATAAAATGGTATCTCATTGTGATTTTGATTTGTATTTCCTTAATGATTAATGATGCTGAACCTATTTTCCTGTGCCTGTTGGCCATTTGTATATCTTCTTTGGAGAAATGTCCCTTCATATCCTTTGCCCATTTTTAAAATTGAGCTGTTGTCGGGTTGTAAGACTTCTTTATTTATTCTGGATAATAGTGATTTGCACATGTTTTCTCCCATTCCACAGGTTGTCTTTTCACTTTCTTGATAATGTCCTTTGATGCACAAAAGGTTTTAACTTTGATGAAGTTCAATTTATCTATTTTTAATTTTGTTGCTCATGCTTTTGGTATCATATCTAAGGACCCATTGCCAAATCCAAGATCATGGAGTCTGCACTGAGATTTTAGTTAGCACCCTAACCATCCCCAGCATCACATTTACAAAACATCACGAGGGATGGGTAACTTTCTGGGAAGATAGCTATTGATGGCTAATATCTTGCATTTTATGAACATTCTTGTTAGTCTCACTTCCATAGAATGAATTTTCTGAGGTTTTCTTCTAAATTCTGAGGGTAATATCTTATTTGGATCCTGGAGGCTTCTACCATGTGGCCCAATCACATGAAGAACTTCAGGCTTGTATCCACCAGGGATGCTTCTCAGATTATCTGGTTCTATCCAGAGCCCCATCCTTGTCATCTGTATCCTGAGCTTGGCAGGACATTGTGGGAGCCATGCAGCATGCTTCCCTGACATTCTGTTCCCTGTGACCTTTGATTGGGCAAGATGCTCTTGTCTTAACACTGGGGGACAGTGTAGTAAAGGGGAGGTTTTGGTATTAAAGAGATCTATATTTAAATCCCATGTGGCTTTGTGTAAGTTGTTTAAGCTCACTCAGCTTCAGTTTCCTTAGCTACAAAAAATTGCCATCTCACAGTTTTATGGTGGGTATTACATGAGACAACATATATAAAGCACCTAGCACTGAACCTGGTAACTAGTATGTGCTCCATATTGGTGTTGCTGTGAATTCTACCTCTCTACGAGAAAAATAGCGTGCGTAGAATGGCAATTTTGAAACATTTTTTTCACTATTGGAGATTGCGTCCATTTTTATTGTCAAAAGGAGGTTCTCTCTTGCCTTTTAAACTAAGTGCCAGAGGGTATCAGATCACTAGGAGAAATCCCCATAGAACTAGAGAAATGAATGCTTTGAAGATAATGTCTGCTGTACCAAGGACGATCAGACACCAGCTGATTTTATCAATACAGTTTTAATCTTTTCAACACCTTTGCACCATTCCCACTTTACTTCAGACCCCCTCAAACCGACAAGTGAAACGAGTTGAGTCAACAATACACATTCCTTTTGAGTCTGTATGGTGTTTCCTCTGCTGAAGTGGAAAGTGATGCTTTGTTCTTCTCTAAGAGCTAGCAATGGCTTACTTCACTTGTCAGGGCCCATCCTCTCTCTGGGTCATTTCCTTAGCTCACTGACCTTGGTGAATCTGTTTCATGTTTGAGTCACTATTCATTTACAGACTCTTTCACACCACTAAACACTCTAAACTCGCAATCGCTCATTACTTCTTGAGTTTGTTGTCTCTCTCCAACTAGGTTCCTTCCTTGAGCTAGGAAGCTGTCACAACTATTTTATTTCACACTGAGTGCCTAGTTTGTTGCTGGTCTCGTTCAAGGAGTTCAGTGAATTCTTCCCAGAGGTGTTTTAAGTTCAGTGCATTGAGATATAAGCAATCATGTCTAGAGATGGGATATACTCCCACTTTATAGCTGTTTAATAAACTATGAAATATTGACTCTCAAAAAGAAAACTTTCATTTTTGATTTCTAGAAATGTGAAATTTACAGCAAAAAGTCCTTTCTTTTTTCAGCCTTGCTATAAATTTCTAAACCAGTTAGATTGTCCAATAAAGAATCCTTTTGTTTTGCTTAACTGTTTATCAATGTATTAACTTTCTGTGTATTGTTGAGCAAGTCATTTCATTCATCTAGGTCTTAATTTCTTTATCTGCCAAGTGATTTTTAAATTTCCTTCCAGCTTTTCAAGGTGTCCGATTCTAGGATGCATGTGTGAGCAATATTTTCCAAAGCTAAACAATGATGATATTGAACAGTTTAATTATCTGTGACTATTCAATCATGCTCCTATTAAATGTTATTTCATGTCTTATTTTGGTCTTTCAGCCTTGTCTGAACCTTTACCATTGACTCCTGAATCACTGAAAGTTTCCATCAATTCTACACAACAGTGTTTGCATTTACAATGGAGTGTCCACAGCCTTGCTTATCATCAGGAGTTAAAAATGGTTTTTCAGATAGAGATCAGTAGATTTAATACATCTAATGTCATCTGGGTGGTAAGTATTTCTCTTTTTTTGCCTCAATATTTTAAATATCCTTTTCTGATGTCATGATTTGTCCTTTATAATATCCAAAAAAGTCTCCATATGGAAACATTTTAGCAACTTAAAACAGTTTGCCTAAACAATTGCATTTCTGTGTTTTTAGTTAAGAGGACTCTGGACAGAGTAACATGACAACTTTCGTTTGGTAGGTTGGCTGGAATGTGTTAAGAAAGGAGATCATTTCCTCAGTTCTGTTCTGTCCCCTAAGGCTATTGGGTCTGTCCTTGTGAGTACTGGATTCCAAAAATCCATGAAGATCAACCATCTTATTCTGCTTCCTTTTTTCTTCCCTGTCCACCAGAGATTTTCCTAAATAAAATGTAATAGTTTGACAGCATTTTTCTTGCCAGTGTGGCTTCCTGTTGGTTTCTTTGCTTATACTGTGCTGAAATGCAAGGAAGAATGAGTCCTAGCACTTGATGTTCTAGCCAGCAAAGAGGTTCTTTGTGGACTAACCATGTTGGAGAGTAACTTATGGTGTCCTTTGTTGCATCACTTGTGGCTTTTTCTACAACAAATTAAGAAAATCCTTAATTTCACATTCTTTTTGCTTTTAGATTATTTGGGATAGATTTTCCACTTGTCTTGGTTCAAATCATGGTTGTGTCTGTTTTGCTGATGCTTCCCCATCTGGTGTATTGGGATACCTGGGTGGTTTCTCCCCATTGCCATTTATGGTCTGGGCAACCTTAGTAATCTATACACACATCATGTTCATGCATTATTATGGGATGTTGAAGTACCGTGGAATGTTTTCTCATTGAAGGGAGCAGAGAATTTGCCTGGAGGAAGGGAAACACAGGGATGTGTCATTGCTGGGCACCTCTATTTGTGCAGTGGAGGGCCACTCTTCTCTCAGGCAGTGGAGACATGGGTTCAGGGATTCAGATGGTTAGTTCCTTCAGTAACGCGTAAAGGCCGCTAATTTTAAAGCCTCCAGTTACTTTCCATATCCATTATTTTATTTGAGATCTGAGTGAGTGGCCTAAGTTAAATATAATTCTGACTCTGTCAATTTAGGATTGATACCAGGTCTATAACCACCCCTCAAAAGGTAGTTTCCCACAAGGAGAATTGCTTAGTCTTCTGATTTTAAACTATAGCAATGCTTATGTACAGCTGTTTACCTCCCACCATCAGCACATCTTCCCGCTATCCCACCTCACTCTAATAATTCATGTATTTTAATGTTTTTTTGTATTATTGATGGATACACTGGTTGTTGACTTGGACCTAGTAAAACATTGAGCAAAGGTCATATTGAGGCTTGGAATTATCTACAAAAAGGAAATTTGAGAAAAGTCCTGGAGTAATTCATGGAAAACTAGCACTAACACCATTAGCGAAAATAACATTAACCATAGACCCAGTGGATCCCATTCTTTATTTTTCTAACAGGCAGTTGTCCATATCTGTTTTCACCTTGATTCATGTAATGGTTCTCTTTTCAAGGTAAAGCAGTGTGTGGAACCTACTCTGTAATCTACTAAAGCTCAAGATCTCTGAGAGTAGAGTTTTACCTTGTCTGTTGTATTGTCCCCATAACACCAGCCCAGCCTGACCCCAACAGAGGAGAAAACCAAGGCACAGAGAGGTTTGTTGTGCTGCTCAAGGTGTCAGAGCCAGGGCAATATCATCCCGCACTCCCATCCCCAGACAGGGATGCTGGCCACCCGCAGCCTCCCAAGGTCATCGGTAGCGACATGTCCCAGAATAGGTGATGCCGTGAGAAACCCTCGTCTGAACCTCTCAGGCCTGAAGTCAAGGAGAGACATAAGATCCCTCTCCAGTTAAGGGGGAGAAAGCCAGCTGAGAGAGGCCACGTCTGTCTAGACCATCATCTCTCTTTCATAGGGCAGTACCCTGTAATGCATGCCTGACAGGGCACCCTCCCTCCTGCGGAGAAGGGGCAGCTTCTAGGCTCATGTCTCAGATTATTGTATTCCCAAATAAGCCAAAGGAAAAGCATCTTGATCCAGGTGCTTGCAGCTGGACCAGGGACACCGAGCCATCTCCCAGACGGCGCCGGCCACTCAGAGCTCTGCTGGCAGCTGCACTACATGGTCTCACCCAGGGCCGGGTTCTGCCCTGGGCCCTTCCAGCCACTTGCTGTGTGATTCTGTCACTGGCAGGAGAAGGCAGAGTACAGTAACAACAAGCTCACGCTTGGAAGGAGGCCTGGAGCGTGAGTCAGTGAGGGATAAGCTCACGCCTCAAGAACGAATTGGTGACCTCGGTTGGACTTCTGTGTAAATGTATGTGCCAGTTTCTTGTGACTTACTGATGTCTGCCAGGGCTGAGTAAACTTGCCACTTCAAGTCATGAAAACAGTCCAAACACAATTCATCACATTTATAAAAATCATTGAATTGATACATTCAAGGGAAGTTTTATCTCCTCCATTACATGGCTATAAACACCACACAGCACAAGCTGTGGTTAGACAGAACCCACACAAATAGTGTCTGGGAAAAATAGAGCCCTTACTAATGACCTGATGAAATCATTCAGCACGTAGTTGTACACTGTGGGCCCAGGTCTGGGCATTGTTCAAGGCGTTGGGTCTATCAGTGCTGAGCAATAATGAGGAGGTAAACACACAAATAAGGGTATCCTAGATGTGAGAAGTGCAATTCAGGTCGCTGACAGGGTGCTGTGGGGTTGGAGTGAGGCCTGACCTTCTCCAGCAACTTGGGGGAAGGGCTGTTTGAGCCAAAATTTGAAAAATTAGAAGCTAATTTAGCATGGAGGGTGGGGAAGAATGTTCTGGGAAGATCCAACAGGGGTGAGCAGAGGCCCTGAGTGACGGGGCTGTGAGCTTTCAGGCCTGAAAGCACCGAGCAGGTGGGGCAGGAGGGACACAGGGTGGACCACACAGGAGGGACCACACAGGATGGACCACACGGGATGGACCACACGGGATGCTGGGGTCACGCTCAGGTTTTGTTTTTATCCTGAGAGCGGTAAGAAGAAGGGAAGTGACAAGATCTGATTGGAAGTTTTTAAAAAGCCTGTTCTGACTGCACAGTGGAGATAAAGTTGGGAGAACTGGAGAAGGCGATGTGTGACCAGTATGAAGTGGGCTGTGGGGCTGGTCCAGAGGAGAGATGCCTGGAGTGGGTGGTGACAGTAGGGAGAGAGATATAGGAGGTGAAATCCAGTCTGTGGCTTGTGACATTATAGTGAGGTCACCATTATTGACGTAGTTCCTTTTTTTTTTGGTATTGGTTCTTAAATTAAACAATATTTAAGCAAAATGTGCTCAAGATTGCTCATACTAAATAGTGAAAGTTACACGGATCATGACCTCAAAACTTGTAGTTAAAAAAATATGTTTTGTAATCTAGGAATAAAGTAGTGCAATAAATTGAAATAAAATATAAACATTTTAAAAATTGGAGTTCTGCATGGAGTGAAATGGACCTGTGTGATTAGATACTGCCCAAGTGGACACAGGTGTTCTCACTCCAGGGCTGAGTTTGGCTCTGCCATGGGCACTGTTTAGGTTAGCAACTTGGGAAGGGGAAAGGCATGGAGGGAAGGCCTCAAAATTTCCCATTTCCAGGGGGCCGGCTGGGTGGCGCAAGCGGTTAAGTGCACGCGCTCCGTTGCAGTGGCCCAGGCTTCGCCGGTTCAGATCCCGGGTGTGCACCGACGCACCGCGTGTTAAGCCATGCTGTGGCGGCGTCCCATATAAAGTAGAGGAAGGTGGGCACGGATGTTGGCCCAGGGCCAACCTTCCTCAGCAAAAAGAGGAGGATTGGCATGGATGTTAGCTCAGGGCTGGTCCTCCTTACAAAAAGCAAAACAAAACAAAATTTTCCAGTTCCAGGTGTGTGTGACATGCGTGTTTCCCCAACCTCTCCACTGTAGGACTTGCCAAGGGCCCTTAGAAACATGGATACAGACTCCGTTTTCCCCAGGAAGTGCCAGGTGTTTGTTGTCTCCATCTCCCAGCTGTGGGGGCAGAAAGCAGGTATCCTGGAGGGGCCCACCCAGGAGCATGAGGGCCTGGAGCTATGGGGCCATGAAGAGGAATAAAGCACAGGCCCTGCTCTCTTGGGCAGGTGGGAGTCAGATTGTAGGTGGCCTTGAATTTGAATGACAGTGTAAGGTGTAAAGGAGCCCTTGAAACCTATTGAATTAGAGAATGAAAATACCAACGTCTTATAAAAATTAAGACTAAAGTCTGTACTGGAAGACCAAATGTAGTTCAACTTGGACAAGCTTCCCAAGAGCACAGTGTAAGACATTCCTATGTGGTTGACATCTTTGGAGACTAAAGATTCTGACAGATGGAGCTCAATGGAGGAAGTATGGTTCATGTGGCCACAACATCTGAAAGACAAGAAATTTAAAAAATTTTAAAAAAACCCAAAGGAGTCGTGGAGAGCCATCTATTGACTTCTGGGAGACAGTGGAACTCCTGGGTACCATGAAGAACTGCCTTCTCTACTGAGATTTGGCCAACCTGATCTGACCCTGGCTAAAAATGATATGAAAAATTATTCGTCGAGCTTGCTTATTTTTAAAGGATGACTCAATTAATTCTCTAGTTTACAAGAATTTTCCTAGCAGGCTCTGTGTGACCAGCACTGTGCGTACCTTCTGGATCTGATCTCTTCCCTCAAGACTTGAGTAGCTTCTATTTTCTCTCTCACTTGCTCCACATGAGCCCTCTGGAATTGGAGGGCCAGAGGGAGTGGGAGCTGAGTTTTCAAAAAGCCAGAGGCTGTGGCTGGTTCCTTGCTGAGACATCAGAGCACAGGGAACTGGCTAGTTAAGAACGGACTGCACTTACATGTATTGTGGCATTACGATGGGCTTTTAGGTGTGTGCTTTAGGATAAGTCCAGTCAGCCATTTTCCAGGACAGCATGACTGTGTTTCCAAGTTTTTATCTTTATTTCTAGGAGAACTACAGCACCACTGTGAAGTGGAAGCAAGTTCTGCACTGGAACTGGGAATCCGAGCTCCCTTTGGAATGTGCGACACACTTTGTGAGAATAAGGAGTATGGTGGACAATGCCAGGATCCCCGAGCCGAGGTCCTGGAGCAGCTGGAGTTCATGGGAGGAAGTAGATGGTAAGCAGTGAGGTGATAAAAGAGTGAAAGGGCTCACTATTGAGTATTATTTGGGGATCAAGAGTCAAATAGTCGGAGGACCTTTTGAGGAACTCTGGGTAGACACCGACATTATTTTCCTTTGGCTTCTATTGGAACTAAAAAGCATCGGTGTGAAACTTGCCACTGGGAGGTAGGTGTCTGAGGATTTGCCTCTGAGTTTATTCATTGAAATAATTATGCAAATTCAGGCAATTCTGTATTCAGTTTTTAAACAGAGAAAGCGTGTTCATTGTAGAATGCTAAGTGAACAGAGCAGGACATAAATTGCACATATGTTTTTATTAGGACACACAAAATGTGTATGCATCTAGAGCACAAACTGGGAAGCTCTTTCTGTAAAGAGCAAGATAGGAAATATTTCAGGCTTGGTGGACCCAGTGGTCTCTGTCGTGTCTATAAAGCTCCACCACTGTAGCATTAAAGCAGTCGTAGGCAATGTGTAGACGAATGAGAGTGGTTGTGCTCCAATAAAACTTTATTTACAAAAACAGACAGTGGGCTGGAATTGGTCCATAGTTTGCTAATCCCTATTGTAGAGAGAAGGGAGGGAAGTATGGAAAAATGGAAGCAGCTCTTCATTCGAGTAATGGGATTATGGATAAACATGTTTTAAATCTCTCTTATTTTTCATGATTTAATTTTGTTGTAATTAAAAATTAAAGGGGGTTTTGCCACAGTTTCTTATGCTTCAGCCAAGCTATAGTCCAGTTCTAAAGCAATGGCATTTGGCTCTCTCAAAAACATACCCTGCCAGATTATTTGAATTTCCTGCCAATAGAACCATTCCTTTGTTAAGCATTTATGCAAATTTATTGACTCAACTGATAACACATTAACCCATGAGTAGCCTGGTGACTAGTTTAATACTAACAATAGAATTAAATCTACATTCTAGTCACTGTTTTAAGCACTATACATATTAATTTATTCTCACATCAGCCCTGTAAAATATGTATTATTCTTATTCCCACTTCGCAGATGGGGAAACTGAGGCACAGATAGCTCAAAGAACCCATGCAAGGTTGTCAAGACACTGAGTGGTAGAGCCCAAATTCCATCCTGGACAATCGGGCTCCAGAGGCCATGCTCTTGACACTACATCCTACTGCTGAAAGGGGGACACACTTACCGAAAAAATAGAGATTAAAAAGATAGTAATACTGAGAGAAAGAAAGTACATTATAAGCAACTTTGATAAAATGGACTACATTTCTCAATATTATAACCTCCAAACTACCTCAAGAATAAATGGAAAACCTGATTATTCCTAACCTCTGAAGCACTGGTTCTCAACCGTGGTTGTACATTAGAATCACCTGGGGACCTTAAAAAAATCCCATACCCAGGCCACTCCACATGGGTGACATCAGTGATGGCAATTTTAGTGACCTGGTGGGCCAACAGCCAGACTGTGGTGGGCTGAGTAAGCAGGGAGTGATGACACCTGAGCGGTAGAGGCAAGGTCTTCAGGGAGACCCCCTGTGGAGGAGCACGTGGCGATGAGGCAGAAGGCAGGCATGGGGAGGACCGTGATTTTGCTTAAAATGGGAGAGACTTGAGGATTTTATATGCTAACGGGCCATATAAAAGGAGAGATTGAAGCAAAAGGAGATATTTGAGCGACTGGCATTTCTCAGAAGGTGGCAAGAGTTGTGATCTATGGTACAATTTAGAGATTATGAGGGACACGTGGCTTTGGAGCTGGGCAGACCTGGTGAGTGTGAATATGGCTTTGCCACTTGCTGGGTGAACGAACTTGGGCTCAGCCCTACCTGTCCCATTGCTGTCAAGTGGTAAGGATGACATGAGATAATGGACACACCACTTAACACAAGGCCTCCCTCATGGCTCGGATCAGTAGAAAGCAGCTACTGCTGTCATAATAACCGAACACCGGCAATAATACAATAATCCGAAGTGGGAACAGGAGCGGGGCTGCGTTTGGTAGTGCGAACAGCAGCGGTATTACTGTAACAATAGGGGCTACGGTACAAAGGATTGTTTTGCAGGCACCAAAGTTTATAGGTTTGCTGTGGAAATTTAGGCTATTGTTTTCTCCAGGAAGTAGAAAAAGCTCAAGTTACAAGTTGAGAGTGAGATGGGAGGGGGCTGGCTTGAATTTTGAGTGAGATTCTAACTGAGCTGTCTTTTTTTATCTTGCAGAACGGAATTCTCTTGGACACGGTGCACTGTTTGTTTTCCCTAAAGATAAGCTGGTGGAAGAAGGCTCCAGTGTCACCATTTGTTCCATTTCTAGGAGCTATCAAAACAACGTATCCTGTTTATTGGAAGGCGTACAGATGCGTGGAGAACAACTTGATCCAAATGTGTCTGCATTCCACTTGAATAATGTTCCTTTCATTAGGGAAACAGGAACAAATATCTTTTGTACGACAGGCCGTGGAGACGGAACAGGCACTGTTCTCTTTGTCTCAAGTAAGTATGCACATCCGCTGTGCCCTCTCTTCCCATTTCCTGTGGAATAGAGGGAATCTGCTTTACAAGTAAACGTTTTCCCTCGTGGTGTCAATCTACTTTTGTTTCCCAAGTCTTGTAGGAGAGTCTCTGGAAAAGATACTGTGAAGCAACACTCCCAGGATTTCCCGTTGTTTTCTTGTCCCTACTGACAATTTTATTCCTAGAAACCAAGAGTGTTAAGGAAGAGAAAGTTCCCGTCATGACCTGGACCACTGGGAAAATATCCTGCTTTCCCTTAGCCATGCTGGAATTACCACAAGATCGTGGAGGGAGAAGAGGGGCCGCAGGTGGGATGACCCCAGAGAGGCCCCCAAGGTTGTGCCCAGAAGAACAGAGTTTGAATCTTCTTCCCATGGCTGGGCGTGCCATGTTGGCCAAGTTTCCTAGTCTCTCTGAGACAGTTTCTGCCTCTGTGAAATGGGGACAAGAGTGGTTGTTATGAGGATTATTGAACGTGGCCCCAATACAATAGCTGCACACAGCAGGGATTCAGCAAATGGAGGCCATCACTGTTCTTAGCTGGGTGTGGGAAATGTCAGCGGCCTCCATTGGTGGTACCAGCGGAGAGGGAACATTTTACTTTTTATGTGATCTGTGTGCGCATGCCCAGTGGCCTCCTATGCTTTGTCTTGAAACCTCCCTTCCCCTGCACAGTAGGGCAATGTCTGCGGCTCCTCCCTCCCTGCTCCTCCTGCCAAAGGCCTTCTCCAGTCTCCTGGACACTTGGTTCATCTGTGCCCCTTGGCACGGCCTCTAAGAACAGCAGGGACTCTGGGGACTTGGAGGTGCTGCACCATTCCTTGGAACTCTCAGCTTCTGGCTGCTGAGTTTAGCACGTTCCTGCAATCTGCCTGACTTCCTGGCGTCCCAGGCACAACCCCCAGGCTCTCTGTAAGCCACAGCATCCCAAATGAAACACCCTGCATTGCTGACTCCTGTCCATTCTTCCGTTCATGAGGTCCATCTCTCATTAGCCACACTCATGGAGTGCCTCCTAGCAGGCCCTGGGGATACAGCTTTCATCAAATAGGCACAGTGCAGACCACTTGCAGAACACCGACCACCCATCTCCCGTGAAACCCCGGAAAAACACAAGAGAAGGAAGCAGAAGGGGCCAAGATGATGGGGCGCCTGAAATGTGACTTTCTGGAGCTGCCAATGTGTAGGCTTCCGTTTATGTGATCAGAGTAACTGTGGCCTCAGACCCCAAAGGGAGCTTTCCATTCTACTTGCCTTTCAATAAAGGGATTTAACTAGGTCTTTCATCTGTTTTTCCTTTGTATGGACAGAAGTACTTGAGGAGCCCAGGGACTTTTCTTGTGAAACCCCGGACTTCAAGACTTTGCATTGTACTTGGGATCCCGGGAGTGACACTGGCTTGCCTAAGAGACAGCCTTCCCAAAGCTACACTTTATTTGAATCGTGAGTCAGCTCTGGTTACGTTATTGACAGATTCTTCCTTGTTTAAGGTGACAACGTAAGGAAGACAAGGTGTCTTCCTTCCTTGTGACAACGTTAATGAAAGCCCCGTTTAGACATTCCAAAAAATTTGAACAAATATTTTAAAACCACCCTGCCCAGGTCAGGAAGAAATCTTTAAGTGGTCACAAGTACATAATACTTTCTACGTGAGTTTTGTTAAAGGAAAATGTAGCCTAAAAATTAGATAGTTAATGGTGAATCTTCAGGTGAAAATAGTTCCACGTGGTGATCTGGGTCTACCTAATTTCTAACTTTTTAAGACTATCCAAAGTAAATTAAGGATAATTCTCACCAGTCACCAGGGGGAGTCAGCAATTCATTGTCACACATTTAACCACATAAATCAAATTTGTTGAAACAATATTTTCATTATTGGTGTTTGTTGGTGATGGATCGATGGATGCTGTTGTGTGAACCTAGTTTGAAAGCCACTGAGTGTGCCTCAAGGGTGACAGGGGTGCGTTGACAAAAGTGTAAACCCTGAAATTGTTGCTTCTTTTTTTTTAAGATTTTCTGGAAAAAAGATACTTTGTGAACACAAAAACTGGTGTAATTGGCAAGTAGCTCAAGACTCACAAGAAATGTATAACTTCACACTCACGACTGAAAACTACTTAAGGAAGAGAGGTGTCAATATTCTTTTTAACCTGACTCATCGAGGTGAGACTAGAGTGTAGTAGTCCACTGTGGTTACTAATGTATCTTTTTTGACACACTATGTGATCAAGTAAATGTGCTGTAGATTTTTGCCTACTTCACATCCTAAGAGAAAGTTTTAATTTATAATTCGTTCATGCCATGCTTCTCTTCATGGATGCATGCATGGCCCATGGTCCCCTATTATTTGTTTGTTTAGATAATGTAATAAGCACCAATCAGCTTACTACTCAACTGCAAACTAGAACTCTTACAATAACTTATTTCATCTCGCATCCCACAGCCCCCCACCTGCTCCTTCCACCAAGGTAATTACAGATTTAAATCGTGTGTGTCTGTGTATTCTCATTTCTTATGTAATCCTATAAATACTGTTTTTATTTTGATTGGTTTTAATGTATATAAAAGAGATCAAGCTGTATGTAATAATCTAGTAATTACTTTTTATATAATATTAAAATGCTAAGATATACCCATATTATTGAGTGTTGCTGTAGTCTATTCATTTTCACTGCTATAGAGCATCTCATTGTATAAATATACAATATTTTATTCATGCATCTCCTTTGATGGATTTTCAGTTTGTGTCAAGGTTTTTGCTCTTAGGTACAGTGTTAATATGAGCATTTTATATATGTATCCAGTACACATCTACAATTTTTCTTGAGTATATACCTAAGAGTGGAATTGGTGAGGACATAGAAAATGTGAATGTTCGACTAATGAGATGGTGCAAAATTATTTTCCAAAGTGGTTGTACCAATATATTGTCAACTTAGAAAAATGAGGCAACTGCAAAACAAAAGGAGAGCATTTATTTGGGGTCTTAGAGTTGGGATTCGGGGAACACAGGTTCTGGCAGCTGCCAGAAAAAGTGTCTCCCTAAGAAAAGTCAGGAGTTTTTATTAGCAACAAGGAGAGCACAGAACAGTTACCTTAGTCGTTTGTTAGGGAGGTAAAATTTATGTTACAGTTCATTAGCTTACTCAAGGATATCTTGTTGTTCCCAGAAAAAGTATATTTTTGCACAATCCTGCAGAAAGTCCTTTCTCAGCAAATAACTCCCTTTTGGCAAGTCAGCAAGGTCAGCACAGTTTCATATTTTTAACAAGATGGAGTCCAGAGTACAAAATGGAGTCACTGTTGTCAACTCACTCCACATCTACCCCCTTTGCTCATGATTTTTCCAGAAGAAAACATCAACAGAGCAACGTTATTCCCTCGAGGCCAGAGTGGTTTGATTACCTGCTCTGGTTCCATCTAGTCCCTCAGTGGAGGGTCTTGTGAAAAAGTCAAACAGCAGTTTCCTCTGAATCTTCTGATCCATAAAGTCCATCTTGATGAAGAGCATCTAACATGGTCATCTGGGCAAACACAGGCTGTGCAGTTGAGTGAGTTACAGCAGAGGTTGTAATTTTTAGTAAGCACTTGATTGACATAATGATGCATATTATTAAGATTAACAACAATAATCCATTTGTAATACTGTCCCTAGCCAGGAGCCTATTCCTCCTGGTAACCAGCTAAAGAAATGGAAATAATCCCCAAGTCCTGGCGTGTGTCCTGTTCCAACCAACAAGTTGATATTATCCTTTATTGTTTTTAGTTCTTGTGTTGCCTTGCCAGATTGGTTAACATAAAAATGACATTCTTCTAGTAGGATACAGGTGCCTCCTTGTTGGGCCATTAAGAAATCTTGTGCCCTTATATTTTGTAGGATAGATTCTGGTGGGTCATCAATTTGGGTTTGTTGATTTTCAAATGCTTGAACAGAAGCATTGCAAGTCGTGGCCAGGACAATAGGAAGGTTGCAGATTGCTTTCAGTATGTAGAAGAGTAGATAAAAGTGTTCTCCCAATAGGATGATTAAGAGAAAAGTATGAAGGGAATAACAAATTGTTCGGTGAGAAAGGACATACAAAATAGACAGGCCTGGTCCAGAATCTTGAGACAGCTATCTGCTCAGCTGTCATCTGTTTCAGTTCCTGGAAATCTGACTTTCAGGTCACCAGTTGATGTGCAGGTCCAGTCAGGGTTTAGTGGTCTCTTTAGATGTAACTTATGAATCCAAGGGTCTATACCTTGGAGTCTAGTGACACAAGGGCTGGTTAACAGTAGCTGATAAGTTTCCTTCCAGTGAGGTTGGAGGGAGTCTTTCTAAAGGTGTCTTTTCCAGTAGATGAGAGCTCTGGGCTGCAGATTATGATGTCTGATGTTTTTGTCTCCTGGGAGCGCACTGTGGAACTATTGTTCTACCAAAGTATGATTATTCTCTATGGATTTGATTAAGACTTTGCAAAATTGAAATTTTTTTATCCCTTTTATCAGCTGTGGACCAAAGGAAGCAGGGGCTTAGGTGCAGTGGGCATCCTGTTATAAGGAGAACGGATTCTTGTTGAACTTATGCAAATACATATATTGTCATGAAAAATAAGAATATTTAATGAGAGTTTCAAAATTCTGGAGGAATCAGGTAGGGAGAAAAAGATAAGTGCTTCAAACTTTGTTGCAAAGATACACTTTACTAAATTGCTGTAAGTTTAAGATAGCTTAAAGAAGAGGCCAAAAAGGGGTCCTTTACCTCTGGAAAACAAAATATCAAAGCAATCAGTTTCTCATTAGGATTTTGGAAATTCCCACCCAGTTCAGTGTTATGATCCTAAAGTTATCAAAAACTTGTATTCTAGAGTACTTGTCAAAGTACTCTAGAAGTATAAATAAAGTAAAAATTTCAGGTGTACATCATTATACTTCTATTTCTGTATAGATTACATCATGTTCACCACCCAAATACTACTTACAACCCATCACCACACACATGTGCCAAATTAGCCCTTTCGCCCTCCTCCCTCCCCCCTTCCCCTCTGGTAACCACCAATCCAATCTCTGTCCCTATGTGTTTGTTTATTGTTGTTATTATCTACTAC